AAGAGGGATACACATTCTTGGAACATTTTCTGCCACTTCAGACCTAAAAGCAGTGTAATTACAACAGCTGATCAGGCATACATCGACCACACCCTAATTCCAATATCACTGATCAAAGCCAAAAGTCAAACAGGTGAGGCACGCTGCCTTAACGCCCGTCTACTTGACGATCGCTGTTCTATTGGCCCAGTCACAGTCAGAACGTCTCGGGTTACTGTCAGGGTAATTGAGTGGGAGGTGCTGGCTGTTGACCCAGGGTGCCGATGGTCAGTTTTCACCTGTAGAATGGGGGGACAAAGCTTTTACAACCTCACCGACATGTACCAAACTATATTTATTGCATGGCTAGATGTTAATTACAGGCCCGGGGGACGGGCGGTCTTCGTCAAAGGGCTGTTAAATGTGTGTATTTCAAGGTTCTCGTCCTTACCTGGATAACGGGTTGTAAAATGGCTGTGTGTATATTCTATATGTTTGTCAGAACTCATGAAATTGTAGTAAGATTCTTATCTTGGATTATTGGCGACATTCTGACGTCACCGTGCTCTGATCTCCCTGCTACGCATGTAGAAGTAGGTATATATCGCTGTACTAGTAAAACGTACTTCAGGACGTGGTGCTCTGACGACATAAAGGAACCCTCGACAATAATTGTTTTCATTGTCGCATGAATCATGGTGCTTGTTATAACATGTACTTGTTCTGAGCGTGGCTGGTAACCGTCATGTAACGTAGAGAACTCGTAAATCTTGGAATTTGGAATACGTTTATTCAGAGGAGATTAAGGACTCGAGGACTATATCCGTGGCAGTATTTATCTGTGGCCTTCCCAGAGACCGGGGTGATTGTTCAGGTTACATATATCTGCCAATAATATAGAGGGCATTTTCAGCATACAGACAGACATGTACAAACAGACATATATGTTCTTTGAAACCCATAGGGCCGTAACTGAATTAATATTCTAAGTCATTCAGAGACTGTAGCTGTGCGATATTTATAGTAATGTACAATATGGGATTAAATAAATATACCTCTAAACAGACTGTTCTAATGATATATATTATGGGTCAAATCGTACGAGTCAGGATACGTTTAAAAATGATATTTCTATTCTAAAAAATACAATTTCTCTAGGAGAATAAAAATATTTTTAAACGAATAAATTTTTGTTGTGGTTGTTGTTTGTTTTGTGTTTTGGGGGGTGTCTTGTTTTTATGTTGGTTTTGTTGTTGTTGTTTTCGTTATTACCCGCTCTGATCAATAGACAAGTTTTCAAAATGCCAAGCGTAGTCAAATGTCAAGGAAGTAGGGTACCAACTGATTGTGAAGGGAGGCATGAAAACCCATATAAACTATAGTCAATAATTATCAATATCATGACATTACGAAAGAGATAATCTATAAGGACTTATTATATTTCTCACTTACAATCATTTTCTACCTTAAAGATTGGCGGCTGGAAAGGTACAATTGGAGAATCAATGCTGTCTTCGACTCACCAACTATTGCCGATGATTCCCGCTGTCAATATAGACGTACATACTTTGCTAAATCCAGACAACTGTAACATACGTGTGTAACTGGTCAAATGTACATGCGATTAAGAATCTTAAGTGGAAGAACATTATATTAATGATGAAACGAATCTAAATGAATTGCTATTATGACTAAAATAACTAATAAGTGGAGGTACCTGGGCCCAAGTAAGAAAAGTAAAAGAAGAAACATTTTATGTTATTGTGTTGCACATTGTACGTTGGTAAATAGTAATACATTCTGTTAAGTGTATTGTTCGGCCAACTGGTACATAGTAATACATTCTGTTATGTGTATTGTTCGGCCAACTGGTAAATAGTAATACATTCTGTTATGTGTATTGTTCGGCCAACTGGTAAATAGTAATACATTCTGTTATGCGTATTGTTCGGCCAACTGGTAAATAGTAATACATTCTGTTATGCGTATTGTTCGGCCAACTGGTAAATAGTAATACATTCTGTTATGTGTATTGTTCGGCCAACTGGTAAATAGTAATACATTCTGTTATGTATTGTTCGGCCAACTGGCCTATGCGAATTTCAAGAAACTCCTTACTCCTTCCTCCTATGTGAATCTCCCTGTATATATACTCTTAACTGTAACGGGGCGGTTGGGTAGCCTAGTGGTTAAAGCGTTCGCTCGTCACGCAGAAGACCCAGGTTAGATTCCCCACATGAGTACAATGTGTGAAGCCTATTTCTGGTCTCCCCCGACGTGATATTGCTGGAATATTGCTAAAACTAAAAACTAAACTCACTCACTCTTAACTGTAACCATCCCTACCAGAAGTCGTCTTGATCACCAGGTACAGTGACTGTAAAGAATTAAGTTGGTAAGTATCTCTACTGTCTTTGACACTGCATAACTACATCTGGTTTAAACATATTTTATTCGGGAACGAAAAGGATTGGCAAAGAAGCCTAAACGGCTTTTATTAATGAAATACACAATGCCATTGAATATTTCGGCCGCGGGAGCCGTGCCAATTAACACTTATCAGAGGGGTACACAAAGTCCACAGTCTAGACTACCAGTTGTCGGACTTCCATTTTTGTGGAAGCCGCGGTGGCTGAGCGGTCTAGGCGATTAGGTGCCTGACTCTGAGGTTGTGGGTTCGAATCCCGGATGGGACTCAACCCAAAAAAGTACTAGAATCTGTACTTTACTAAGAAAGTGTAATCCCAAATATAACATATGTTAGGCTTATATTAATGCCGCTCCATAATACTTGTATAGGTTCACATGATATATACATGATGTTGTGCATAATAATTATAACAAATTCTGAAAATATGAACAAGTTATCTCTGAATGATAATCATCTTGGATATTAACAAATTACCTTAGTTTTGTTTCACTTGTAGTGCGCCCAGTTTGTTCTTCTGCAATGGTGGTCAGTGCCATGCAGGTGTAATATATATGGATGGAGGATGGAACGGGTCAGTATGCCTTCAGCTGTTGTATTGGTGTGTTCAGGAATATTCGACGAATAATCTAGAAGCACAGGTTAATAGAAACACAACATATTAGTGACGTTGTTATTTACATTGTAATACCATTGTTACTCATACACAGTTTTCATTCATAGTTAAAGTTCATTTCAATGACCCGTGAAATCTAAAATACAATCTGTAAATGATATGACAATGTTGTATAATTGTTAATTGTAGCAGAACTATAATATCACCTTGTTCGTCGATAGGCGTGCGTGACAGGCGGAACCATATCATTGACTGATCGCTCTGGGTGATTGGCTCTGTCTGCTATTTCCGGTACAGACAAGCGCCCAGTTTGTTCTGTAGCAAGTCGGGTGATCGGCTGTCACCCACGGGCCTAATTAGCAGTCACGTCCCAGGTGAGACTAACTATCCAGGGTGACGTACTGACGTATGGCACGGAATGGGAGCACGTATATATCACTATAGGCATTGTAGTGCTGTCTTTCTACAAATGGGTGGTCTATAGCGTGTAATATGACCATGGGAATTATTGTCGCCACTGTAACAAGTTGCAGTCCGTGTGTATTAGTGACAACTTTATTGGCACTGCTGGTATATTTTATGTCATATTTCTGTTACAACTGGTATGGTAGAGGCATACTAACTATAATAATAACATCATATATGCTTTGTTCATGTTTCCCTTCTTGTGTTTAAAATGACCAGAAGATTGACCAATCATAAGAAGAGTTGGACAGAGACCCTCGTCTTGTAATACAAGGTATAGAAGGAGGTTGAATACAATAACAAAGCATATTTTTCTTTTCAATGATAGCAACGCACAAGAGAAGATGAAACAATCAGGACTCATTTGGAATCACCCACAGACATTTTCTTATGATCATGTGCTTCTTCTAAAACCGTATTCAGGACAAGCTAGCAGAAAGTGATATTCATCTTCCAATACATTTACACTTTGCTGATAGCAGTAAACATACCATGTTGGTTTTCTTGCAACTTTGTTGTAACGACCTGTTTAAATTTCAAGCTTATGACAATACATTCTATTCATCGTTAAAGACATCTTCAAATCTTGAGGTAAAATATCTTAATACATTTCAATGTCAAAATGAACTTTCAAGTCCCCATATGATGCATGTTTCTCATTACGGTCTTTTACCTCAACTTTTGGACGAAGGTATTAAACAAACTTTTTGTAAACACATACCAAAAGCATAACATTTTAAAGTGGCGGGTTTAGTCCACGTTAGACGGTGGTACAGTGGACTACACTGCATCCAAGAATTACCAATGCCAGCATAGTATTTCTATTTTTTCTTCAGATATTGTTTTCTTCAAAAACTGCAGTTACACATGAGGTCACGTGACATTATGATGTCTCTTCTATTGTATCACTTCTTGTATTTAGTGCTACGACATTTTCTGTTTTTAAATAAAAATGTAATGTATATATATATATTTTTTTTTAAATATAACCATTTTGGACCTTGGACTTAAAAATGGTAATGAATGGAAACTTGATCTCGTCACTATATGGCTGGAACAATGCCGATGTGATGTGACGTAAACCCCAACTCAACTCAACTCAACTTTTTATAACACAATGTGTGAAGCCCATTTCTGGTGTCCCCCGCCGTGATGTTGCTGTAATATTGCTAAAATCGGCGTAAAACTAAATTCACTCACTCACTTCTTATAACAACACATCAGTTTCTAAAGCGTGGATTCTATTTATAACTTTTATCTCACTCATTCACTCACTCAATCTACCTGCGACTCGCTGGTCACCAGAGGCCGATGCAATGCCCAGACATTTACACAGGACAACGGCGTCAACTCACACGCCATCATTGCACTAACTTGCAATCAACTCATCAACTCACGCAACAACAGAGACATGTTACTGACGTACAGTCTGAACGAGACGTGCTTTAAGACGTGTTTATTTCCTATATGTCCAAAATATGTTCGTTACACCCTAATATTCACATACCTGGGGTCAGCAGAACGCTAGGAACTCCTACAAGGACGTCAACACCCCCGGAAACATCCACAAGTCAACGTCTAATACCAGGAAGATGCTTTAAAGCGTTGCGTGGCATAGCGTGGTTAGTATGATATCCTGAGGCCGCGGGTATAACATTAAGCCTGAAACTCGCTACGTGTGAGTGAGTAAGGTTAGTTATACGTCGCTTTCAGCAATATTCCAGCTATATCATGGCGGAGGACACCACGAATGGGCTTCACGCGTAGTACCCATTTGGGGTATCGAACCCGGGTCTTAAGCGTGACGAGCGAACGCTTTAACCACTAGGCCACCCCACCGCCCTCGTATCACTACCATAGTTTGTGAAACGGGCCCTGATCATCACGGATCACAATTTTCAAACGGGATTCGATTAGAAAATGTTATATCGGGGGTAAAATTAATTTAAAGCTAATACAGGCCATGCCGATGCTTTACTCCACAGTTTTCTGTCCTTTTAGGCTTATGTCAGGTAGCCCTATGGGTTAAACACGTTCCTTCATCACGTTGTCATGGGTTCGATTCCCCTAAATTGTAAGGACCTGCGTTTAAGTTCAACATTCACTCAGTACATCCCGGCATACCAGGTAAAATGTGTACTTAATTGAGTCCGGAATGTAAATAGGTGTTCTGTTGCAGTCTGGATTTACCTGATGTTACTACTTTCATTTCTCCGTGCAGAGGTCTTCCCGGGTTCATTCATCCGGGCAGTTATCAGCACCCTCTGGTGAGAGAACAAAGACGGAGTACCGCCGTTTGTAGTCCCTTGGTCGTTACAGAGATAAGGTGTATTATTCTTTGTGTCCGTGTCAGTGGCGACACATACTTGAGGGCGGATGTCTATGATGTGTGACTCTTTGTTGAAGCCTCTTAACAACCTGCTTATGTAATTGCTGCGATGTTCCTTTTGTAGAGTCCCGGTGCTAACGACCCGACAAGTAGAACCGAAAGGTGACTGACAGGTCGTTGCTGGAAATAGGAAATAAAAAAGATGGTTTAAAATTGACTTGTTTTTGCATGTGTTTATGACGGGTGTCACCAAGTGACAGGATACGCTAACATTTTCGCAAACAAGTGGTACCATCACCCTTTGATGGTGATTAACATGAATACACGATGACATTTAGAAAGTGGTCAAATGTATCGTACGTTGTGCTTGGGAATACATTTCCTCAATAAAGTATGGATTCGAACCCGTACTCACAGAATTAGGCAGCTGATTGCCAGCACACAAAGTCATGGACCTAGCCCAAGCAGCCACTACGCCTTCCATAAAATGTTTTTTATTACACTCTAAGTGTAAAATGGCACGGCTCCAAGGGACAAAAGCCAAGAATAGCACTCACGATGGTGAGTGACTGAGCTTAGTTTTGCTCCGCACCCAGCAATATTCCAGCTATATAGCGATGGTCTGTAAATAATAGAGTCTAGACAAGACAATCCGGTGATCAACATCATGAGCATCGATCTACGCAACCGGGATACGATGACATGTGTCAGCCAAGTCAGCGAGCCTGACCATCCGATCCCGTTAGTCGGCTCTTACAACAAGAATGCATTGCTGAAGATGAATTCTAACCTCGATCTTCACGGGTTATTTAGACAGTGGTCACATGTAACTTATCTTACATTTGGGACTACACTTCCTCAGTAATGATGGTGATTCATGATGGTTTAGCCGAATTTGATGATTTTGAATGTTTCGTTTTTGATTTATCAGGGGTGTTTTATGAACAAGGAAGGGGTATTTACGCTGTTAACGCCACAACAACCAGATATGTCACTGATCAGATGTTTCACATGTGTGTCCAGTGTAACGCGTCATTAGCGTTGGCCATCGATTCTGCAGTTGTAGTGAGTGAGTATGGTTTTACGCCGCCTTTAGCAATATCCCAGCAATATCACGGCTTGGGACACCAGAAGATTCGCTTGTTACATATACGATTACGTGTGCATATTTTATGTTCGCTTCAGTTATTTCTTTAAGCTCAGCCAAAAATCCCCTTCTGGAAAGCTTTAAAACGTTTACTCGAGTGAGAATGGTTTAGGCCGTTTTAAAGATACTGCTAGTACACCAGAAATGAACTTCCCACATGGGTACAAACAACCCCGGTCTTCTGTGAATGAACGCTTTAACCTCTAGGCTACCCCACCGTCCCTCCTGTCCTGGAGAGAAATACAATATTTTGGTCCCATAATTATGTACATTATATGAAAAAGTAAATTTATTAGGAAAGTTTTACTTTCCTTTTTCAAAACCTTTAAGTTGTCATCGCATTTCTATTAACTCATTTTAAACAGATCAACGGGAAAGGCAACCCATGCTCGTTGTAAGAGCGATTAACGGGATCGGGTTGATCGATGCGAATGATGTTGATCACTGGATTGTCTGGTCCAGACACAATTATTTACACACTGCTGCCATATAGCTGGTCTATTGGTGAGAGCGGCGTTAAACAGCAAACAAACCAACCAAATACTCTTGTGTTGATTAATTTGCCATCCAAGTGAGTGTGTAGAAAACAAGGACCGAACAGCGTGTCCCCTTGGGGATCCCTACTTTGTAACGTGAAGCTCTGATTTACATTTTGAATATGCATTTTAAAAACATTTTTCAGAAACTTTTATTCAAGAATATATATATAATATTGTAGGTCCGCTTCGCTTCAGTCACTTTGTGGAAAGTGGTTATTCGCCAGGAGTGAAGTACGACACTTTGTGCCATATAGCGCCCGTAAGTAGGTCAGAGACCTTATAACTTCCGGTGACAAACAACGTTCCAAGCCTGTCAAATAGTCTCACGGTTGTCAGTTGACAGTAAGCAACCAATAATCCTTGCAGGAATTACAAATTTCCGATCTAACCATACTCACATTAACAAACTATTGCGACTCTCAACAGCAGTGACAACCATGCATGGTTGTACACTTGGTCCGGTCTATTAGAATCATATTTGGCGGAAGCGCATTTTGAAACCAGAACTGCTTCTTGAATATACGCTAGTCACCAGAAATCTGGTACCGGAAGTAAGCTCGGCCCCGTCTCGCAAGGTGGCACGCGCAAAGGGAGCCGAGAACCAGCTTAGTACCGGAAGTGAGGCGAGACTTACAGGCCATATTACGGGAGATCCAGAGATTAAATGTAGGGAAGAACCCTAAAACCACCAGCGAACCTATTAAAGCAGAAGCAGTGTTGTTTTCCATGATTGATGAAACTGAAGAATTGAAATTATTTTTTGACGGAAAGCAAATCAATTTGGTAAACAATCATAAACATCTCGGAATAACATTTGAAGCAAAAGGCAAATGGTCTTGTCATACTAATCAAATTATCAAGTCGTGCTCCAAAATGATATCATCAATGCGGAAATTGAAATACTTACTTAACAGAAATACAATCAATACTATTTATAAGATATTTATCAGACCACACTTTGAATATGCTTGTGAATTATTGGATGGCTGTACTGTAAAACAGAAAGAAAACTTAGAGAAACTTCAGTTAGAAACTGCCAGAATAGTTACGGGTCTACCTAGATATACTTCACGTCAAATTCTATAATATGAGACAGGCTGGGAAAGGCTGGATGAACGAAGAAAAAGAAGAAAACTTTGTCTATTCTACAAAATTCAAAATGATTTAGCCCCTGTATACTTAAAAGATATTACTCCAGATAGTGTTGGATCAAGATCTAATTATAACCTTAGGAATGCTAGCAATATTATTCTACCTTCTGCAAGGTAAAGACTATCATATGATTCCTTTTTTCCATCAACTGTAAGAATGTGGAATAATATTTCTGATACCGAAAGAAATCGACCTTCATTACAAAGTTTCAAGTCGTACTTAAAGTGCGAGCAACCTGTAGCTCCATCATATTACTCGTTTGGAATTAGAAAATTAAATATATGAGTTGAGATATATGACTAGTCAGCTAAATTATGATCTGTATCGTTTCAACATAAAAGATTCAGCTTGTTGTTACTGTGACAATACTTGTGAAAATGTACATCACTTCCTATTAGAATGTAAACTGTACAACATCCAAAAGGAAATATTAATGTTAAATTTAAAAAGTATTGGAAATCGAGACTCTCCAATCACATTGTCATTGATGTTATTTGGAAGTCCTGATATGACCATTCAACAGAATGAATACGTTTTTAAAGGTGTGCAAACTTTTATTCATCAATCAAAACGTTTTGTGTGATCACATGAGTTGTATCCCTTCCTCTACTTAACTTTCCTATCTCTTCTCTCTATTCTTTCCTAATACACATTCCGTTGATTGGTTTGTGTATTTTGTCTTATTTACTTAGCAGGAAGTCCGCTTGGCCAAGACCGCGTGGTCTAGCGGTGAACGCTTATTTACCTTTGATGCGACTAACACCAATTGTAAACTATAATTGAGCCGATCATGTCAACTCAGTGTCAATGTCACTATGCATTTAAGATGCCATCAGACACAGTGTGATATCAATCAGTTGTAAGAAGCGATTTTATTTGATAAAGATTGGTTTCTAATGACGCTTTTTCGCCACAGTCTGCTATAAGGGTCGTGATTGGTCAAAATCAGACACATGACCTAAGGCAGCCAATCATATTACGGCAATGGATACCGTCCTCGTAAACGAAAACTTTTAGATTTAGACAAAAGTTTTGGGTAAAATAATGCTATTCTGAACATATTAAGTAAGAAATTGCTACCTATACGTAAATTATGGAACGTATTCGACTTATCGTGCTAGGCTATGACCTGTGACAAAAATGCTTCATGTATATATTTTCGCATTGAACATCGTGTCCGAGCGTGAAGATTGAGGCGGCGAGAGCCGAGATGTCACTTGTCAGTGACTTGACTTACATTACATGATCGCACAAAAAGATGGAAATAGTAATTTTATATGTACGTTTGACAACTTTTATGAATGTTGTTGTTGATTTCATTCATTAGTTTATTCAATTTATTTCATGAATTCCTCGAAACATCGTTACTTTGCTCTTTGACAATGTTATTGTGGACCCGCTGCCGAAGCAGGTGTCCGAGAATCGTTGTTTTCAATAACATTGCGAAAAATAGTTTATAATTTTAATTCTGCTGATAATAGGGAGATAACTCCATTAAAATCTGTGTACTTCGGACTACTGTATAATTCGGACTTTTTAGTCGGTCCCAAGCTGGTCCGAATTAGACAGAGTGCACTGTATCCACAGCACGACCTGCTTGGATATATTGATAGTCGTTTGGACTTCGTCACTATTCAGTTCCATTAAATAACAGTTTATCACTCGTTCTCAGTAAACCGGGGCCACTGGGGTCTAATACTGTGAAGACATAAAGTACATGAAATCCGCTACGCGGTCATTTGTTTAGTTAATACCGTATCTGAAGTAAGTTTCTGCAAAATATTCACACTCAGGCTCGAACAGAGTTCTCAATATGTGTCAACAAATATGTGACCACCAATCCCGTGTTGTATTTTACCTTACAGTACCCATATATGCTTACGATCTTTTATTCCAGTTGAATTGCGTGATACGCTCAGGAGTTCAGTGATCACAATTGTACACAGGTCCATCGAACTATGGAAGCGAATTAATTTGCGTCAAACCTAATATATAGATAGAGTAATTAGCATTGTGAACTGCTTATTTAGCTGTGTAATGATATCAGTAAAAGATTTAACCAACAACACTAATCAAGAATGGCAATATCAGTTGATAGTTTTCTGCCCGAGCGCGAAACTACAAAGCTGGTCGATGACATACAATCAACAATAGTACAAATATTTCTGTTGGTTGTTAAGGAAAATGATATTATTGGTCTGTAACGTAAATTACTTCTGTTAATATATTTCAATAATGGCATCCACTTTTAATAACAGAATTTTATTTCGGCAAGAAAACTTATAATCAGTCTGTAACAATTATGTTTTAATGAAAACGACACAAAAGCGTCAACCATCACAACTATATCTCCATTTTGAGATATGCTGCTCCCATTGTTGCTTTCTTTCTCTCTATACAATCAGGTTACCTTTGGGCAGCAGTTTTAGCCATTGTATCTGAACAGAAATCCTCTCGACATTGTTATAAACGTTTTATAAAGGGTATGACAACTTTTTTATCATATTGATTCATCCATTCTGGAAACAGTCACGCCTGAATATCGCGCGGGTAATGACATAGTTAACGTTACGATAATGACGTGCTTACCAACACTCATGAGTGCACATAATTGAATTAATCAATAATTTCGATGGATTATTTCATCTACAACCCCTTCACACAAGAATTTCAAATAAAACTCAAACATATTAATTAATACTACCTGAAACGGTAACGTAAATTATATAGTATATAGATCAAGCCGTATGTATTTTGGTTCTTTCATGACACTAACTATAACAAAACTTCCGTTGGATACAATTTTGCAGCAAGCTTAAATGAAAAGAATACGCACTACCGACATGGCAAAAGATGCCGTCATAGAAGCAAATGTTTGCCTCTGAACGTACAATATGACTTGGTGCAATCGTTTTGAAGGTTGATACTGATTGTAAACAGTTTTATTTAGAATGTCTGCTGACAAACACCTCCATTTAATATCAAATTTGAAAGCACCGACAGCCAAAATGTCGTCGACAGCAATTGTCCAAGTTAACTCAGAATGAGTGTTATTCGCATACTTTCACCGTACATTGTTTGGATATACGTTATATGCAAGCTTATGGTTTAGAAGTTAGTTTGCTATTCGTGTTTTCCATATTTAAGGGACCGTTCATAAATTATTGCAAGGGCGGCTGATGATGATTGTTATGGAGCAGCATTTACAATTTTCAATATTAATTGTTATGTACAAAAATGATGACCCCCTACCTCCCCAGAACATTTTAGGTGACCCCACACCCACCCACCCACGCACGCACGCACGCACTAAGGTGACTGGCAAGGTATAGGGCAATCCCGTTATATTCACGTTTCACAATTACACTGTCATGTCGTTGAGGATACTGTTATAACATCCACTAGCAAGGTATGGGGCAATCTCGTTATATTCACGTTTCACACTGTCATGTCGTTGAGGATACTGTTATAACATCCACTAGCAAGGTATGGGGCAATCTCGTTATATTCACGTTTCACACTGTCATGTCGTTGAGGATACTGTTATAACATCCACTAGCAAGGTATAGGGCAATCTCGTTATATTCACGTTTCACACTGTCATGTCGTTGAGGATACTGTTATAACATCCACTAGCAAGGTATAGGGCAATCTCGTTACATTCACGTTTCACACTGTCATGTCGTTGAGGATACTGTTATAACATCCACTAGCAAGGTATAGGGCAATCTCGTTATATTCACGTTTCACACTGTCATGTCGTTGAGGATACTGTTATAACATCCAATAGCAAGGTATGGGGCAATCTCGTTCTATTCTTGTTTCACAATTCCACTGACGGTTTCGAATGGGAAAGTTCTGGTCCTGTGCAGCAAACAAAAGCCTTCTGTGTCCCTCTTCAGGCCAGGCGAAAACATCCAATGACTTTGCAGGATTGCGCTGCACGTCATCGCGGTGCAGAAGTTGTGTAGGGAGCCTTCCCTTGAAATCTGAGCCTGTGTTGACATTCATTTCTGTATTGTCCAGCGGCACAGAACATCAAGACAATCAATAATGTCACTGAGACGATGTTCTGCATCCTTGACTCGTTAAGAAAACCATGGAATGCTTTGTTTTTAACATTAGCATTGACTTTCTTACATGAGGATCATGAGAAAAACAAAAAAATGTGTGTAAACAAGTCTCCAAGTTTCCAAGCTAATCGAACCACGCCCTCAAGTTTTAATCTGTGAATAGATATATATTTTTGTGACGGACAAGAGTGGTAAGATCTATTGTCAGACATGATGTGATGTGAAATTGGGTTTAACGTCGTGCTTGAGAATATTTCGCTCATATGAGGACGTGTATGCGTGCGTATGTGTATGTTCGGCTGCTTGTACTAGCCCAGACTTAAGCTGGTTTTATAGTGCTAGCCCACTGAGATACCATGCCGCAGTGAAGCATGAATACCCCACTCAGACACATTATACTGACTCCGAGCCGACCAGTCCTTGTTGTACCCATTAATGCCGAGCGCCAGGCAGGGACCAACAAGTACCATATTTTAACGTATTTTGGTATGACGCGGTCGGGGATCGAACCTGCAACCTTCCGCTCTCCGGGCGGACGCTCTAACTACTACACCACGGAGGTGGTCTTGACAGACATGAATCCTTAAGTGGTGTCGATACCCGATCCACCCCACAGGCTTTATTCTTTACCTCCAAGAAATATCATATCAGAGCCATGGCTTTCTGCAGACATATATTTACAAGGTGACATTGTTTAATTGTAGCGAAAGCGATACCAGAACGAATTCAGTTGCCAACCTGAATGTTGTTCTGTAGCTGTAGGTACTCCTGTGTGGTATTCCATAGGTATTCAAAATGTATGATACCAGAGGGGTATTAGATGAGTGCAGCTTTAAGTGAGTGAGTGAGTGTGGTTTTAAGACGCTTTTAGCAATATTCCAGCAAAATCACGACGGGGCACACCAGAAATGGGCTTCACACATTGTACCCATGTGGGGATTTGAACCCGGATCTTCAGCGTGACGAGCGAACGCTAGGCTACCCTACCGGCACTGCAGCTTTAAGGGTTGCTGATACTATGATGTAGCTATACAGATGTAATGAATAGCAGGTCGTAATGGCATTGTGCACTTTACCGTAGGTCACACGCGACTCCACTGAAACACGAATATCAACTGAATGTCAATTTGCTCAAGCAGCAGCTGTTTTATTGTGGTACCCGCTTGTCACTGTGTACATTTGCTCGATGTAATGAAGTTCCTGTGACATATCCTCTCCACCCACCAGTGATGAAAATCTTATATTAAATCGATTGAAATGTGATTATACGGCATCACTTGTGAGAGTACTATTTTATAACAACTTAGAAAGAATATTCTTTAATCGTGACATGATGTAGAAATTTGCATTTGCAAATATTACTTAACTCTTCTACTTTATCGATTCGTTTGCTTAACGTTTCTTTCCTATTCAGATATATGCTACACTTATATTCCCTCATCTATCCAAACCCTGTGGTTTTAAAGCTTGGCGAACTGAAATCGGAATTCGGATTTAGTTAAGCTCTGATTCATTTACATTCTTGACTTATGTTCAGTCAATATTACAGGAAAGCGATCATACGAGATAATGGTCAACCGGTATGACTATATAAGGCACGGGACGGACAGGTCAGGCTGTACGGGGAGGAGACAACAATATTGACAAATAACAACCCCGAGAGAAGCTATGCGTCTGTATGAAAGTACTTTAGTCATGTCCGGAACAACCGAGTGCGCATGCGTGAAGGACAGCGTTTGATCCAGAGAACCTTGTCGAACAGGGATAATCTTTTGAGAGATTGGCAGAAAGACGAGCATTGTATTGCATTGTATTGCATTGTATTCCATGTCCATTGTCCTCGAGGAGAAAAAGAGAAAGCTTTCAGGGTCTTCAACAGGTTTGATCACCTTGATATTCTAAAGTGAAAGCGCATTCAACTCCGAGACCCCTCTTGAAGCAAAGAGAAGAGTATTATCCTTTAGAGGATCGAGAACGTTCGAACAGTTCAACATTTAGAAATACAGAACCACAGAGAATGCGTTGCCATGCGTGGATATGTTAACCTACAAGAGAGATAGGTCTACTTGTTGACGTAAATACGGATGTACGGCCAATTAATACGAGAGAGATCCGTACGATCTGCTGTGTAAGAAACGTGTTGAAAGTGTGCCAACAAACTTGTTTTGAAACACTCTAATGAAACACATTAAGTGCGCCTCATAAATCTGCCACACAAGAACGTCGTCACTCAAAAGAACAATAACATTCGATGGTTCATTCCGGTGGAAGTTATATGTTGAAAAATTACAATCGAAGAGTTTCAGATAACAGATAACGATCTTCAGCATATGCCAGACGAAGGAGGTTTGTCTTTGCTGTGAAATATACAGAACAGTTGACAATGATGCTGATGCAGTTCGTGTTTGGCGTTGCTCTGCTTCTTCCCAGCGCGGTTCCTGAAGGACTCGTGTCGCTCATGACCAGCAAGGAAGTGTCTGGACCTCCTGCCATCACCGAGCTGCTAACTCTACCTGCACCATCTACAATCTCCTGCGGTGTTCTGTGTTTAGAGAGACAGGAATGCTCCTGGTACGTGCGAAATGGAAGCACTCACACCTGTTCCCTATACCGAGAGTACATACCAGCTGATATCACACCCCACGTCTTCGATCAGCACTTCACCGGCACCATCTTTGGAGGTAAGACACAGAATATATTCAATTTAAAAATTTATAGATATGTATTGTAGAGAGGATTGTTACTGAATGAGAATAGTTTTACGCCGTTTGTATCAATACTCCAGTATATTTTCAATGCGAGGGACACGACCTTCAAACATTGCACCATTGTGGGAAGCGAACCCGGATCTTAGGCTTGATGAGCAAACGCCTTAATAACTAGCCTGACCTACCACTTCAGAGATGGCTGTTAATGTCGCAGTTACAGCTGCTTCTCTGTCTCGAAATGGATGGAAACAAGGTAAAGACATTTTACATATGTTCAAACGTGGCCGGAGTTAGGCATCCATTCTTCCATTCCGAATGTTTGAAATGTTTACAACTTCTTTGAGTGGCATATTTAGAAGTTGGTGAATCAGTTAAGGACATACGTTATGGATGAACAACGGAATCACCCGAATAAATAAAAAAGTTGTTCATCTATAAAGTTTGTCCTTATCTGAAATGTTTTCAAGTTGCTTTGAATATTGATTCTCAAAGATAAGATGTCTCAGATACCAAGCAGCAGTTGTGCATTATGAAAAGTTTTATTTTATTTTATTTTTAATCCTATTTTAAGACAATTGAAGTGTACAAGTACATGTACAAGTATTCGGTGTTGACTCAATGCCACTAGATCTAGAGTTCATGTTTGGATGTAATTTCACTGTTTCACTGGTATTTAAAAGCTGGTGAAGAGTAATGGCAAGATGCTTTATGGATAATAACTTCTTTATTTTCTATTATGATGCAGTGTTTCGGTACATATATTGGTCATACAACCATTCTGCTTAACATCAGTATTATGATCACGACCGATACGTCGCATCATAATGAAATAAAGAAGTTATAATCCATAAACGTATTTTGTCCTTTATTGGGGATAACTTAAGACCATTTAGAAATTTTAAATTCCATAATTTCCGCCAGATTTTCTTCACGTTCTGTACGCTAATTCTGAGAGCAATAAGCACACAAGTAGTTGTAAAAAGTCTTATGTCTTTTTCTGACAGTATACGTTGTATCCTTCAATGAACAAAGGAATTCACCCCCATGATATGTTTCTTTTGCTCTGACACATATCACTGCTCTTGCATGCTGACTTCCACATGACGTAAGTCATGCAGCTAGAATGTAGTCTGTTCCGAGAGGCAGTGAGTGAGGGTTAATGCTTCCTATAATAGTACAATTCTATAACGATATATCAGTTTGAGGTTGGTGTGAACCCTGAAGTTATGCAGGGGGACAGAACTACTATATTGGTGAAACCCACGGCTATTGTGGGGACAAACGTAAATTAACATGAAAACTGGGACGGAGGGTCCAGAGTAGTCATGCTACGTCTTTTCAACCCGTGAAGATCAGGGTAAGAATTGATCTTCAGTAACCCATGCTTGTTGTAAGAGGCGACTAACGGGATCGGGTGGTCAGGTTCACTGACTTGGTTGACACATGTCATCGTATGCCAACGGCATAGATCAATGCTCATGCTGTTGATCACTGGATTGTCTGGTCTAGATAGACCGCCGACATGTAGCTGGAATAATGCTGAGTAGAGGTGTCACGATACCGAAATTTCATCTTGGAACGATACGATTCGATTCGATGCATATCACGATATGCTATCTTTAGTTTTTTGTATTTTTTAAAGTATATTTTGATAGCAAGTAACAGTGTCAATTTCTAGTGAAATCAACAATTTTAAGGGCAACGATACATGTCACGATACGAAAAACTGTATCGATATATTTATCATCAGATAAAGTATCACAATTATTCACACTACTCGTCAGAGCTCTACTGATGAGTGCGGCGTAAAACTAAACTCACTACCCGCGTCTTTTCATTTTTCGGTGTGTATCGTAACATGTGTTATATCTGGGATTACACTTTCTTAGTAAAGTACAAATTCTAGCACTTTTTTCAGTTGAGTCCCCTATGATATTCGAACCCACACCCTCAGAGTCAGGCACCTAATCGCCAACACATACCTCCCTTCAAGAACTCTACGCTCTAGTCAACAACAGCTCCTTCGGGTGCCTGTCACCAAACTTAAAACTTTCGGCTCCAGATCCTTTTCTCAGCCGCTACTCTGTGGAACTCTCTACCCGAATCACTGAAGTTGATTCCATCTCTTGAAACTTTTAAATCCAGTCTTAAATCCTACCTTTTCTAGCACTATACCTAAACGATACATAACTCATACCACTGTGGAGAACTCAACTACCTCTGTTTCCATCGTTTGAGGCAATGCGCTTTGAGCATACCTTCATGGCGTGGATATAGCGCAATATAAGTGCCATTATTACTATTATTATTATTAACACACAAAGTCAGCCGCCTAACCCGCTCAGCCACCGCGACTTCCACTGTGTCTTTTCAATTATATATGCTTATAGTTTTGTTCTATTTCTTGTATTATGCTCAGTCAACAACAACAGTAGTCAGCGGACTTTACATCTTTTAATCTGGGAAAGAAAACAACAGTGGTTAGAATATACAAGTATTCTTAACAGTTAGGGTGCAATGACAACTGCTGAAAACGTTCATCTTTTATCTTAGAGATAGCAGAGGACGTACTAGTATATTAATATGGATCCTCATTTCGACGTCGAATGCTTGAATGGCTCTACAGCTTGTACTACAGCTGAAGTTCCACTGTACACAAGATATAGGCGCACATTGTCATTAGTGTTCTGTCTGGAAAGGTAAATGGGTTTGTCGTTAGTTTAATTGTGACAACTAAAAGGGTTCTCTACACATGTCCATACACTGAGACACTTGTGGCACTTGTACGTAATGAAAGCCTCTTGTGGCTGTTAAGAAACCTGTTATAACTTACAGTACATTAAGGCATTACAATCATGCCACTGAAGACGCCATTGTACGCCTACGACCGTAAAACTGCTTTCATATCCAAGATATGTTATATTTGGGTCAGGATTACACTTTCTTAGTAAAGTACAAATTCTAGTACTTTATGGGGTTGAGTCCCGTCCGGGATTCGAACCCACACTCTCAGAGTCAGGCACCAAATTGTCAGCACACAAAGTCAGCCGCCTAACCCGCTAAGTCACCGCGACTTCCACAAAAATGGAAGTCGGACAACTGGTAGTCTAGACTGCGGATTTTGTGTACCCCTCTGATAAGTGTAAACCCCATTTCACCTCACTTTCATATCACAGTGTTGGTCTGGAAGTTAACACTCATGTGATGGCAATCTACTATCTTTGCTTCATCCATGTACTCTGTGCTGAATTCAACGACACACCACGGCAGTTCAGTAATAGTACAGCACCAGACATGTTTTACAGAGAGTACACAGAGCATTAAATAGCACACCTTTGAGATAAAGCACATGCTTGATAAATTTATTTGATAATTACTTTTGATGCATGTTGGATCAATTCTTACATAATCAATTGTGTTGCTACATTCGAACCATTAGTCTTTACCTTTTTTCTAAAATTATGGTTGGTCTCTGTTGTTTCCTGATGGGAAGAGAAGCGTGTGACCATGCTGAGTTTATGAATGCTGCCGTAACTAGGGCAGGGACGGGTACCCGGATAGCCGGGACGGGTGGGTAATGAGTTGGATCCGGGTTCCCGTCTCAATACCCGGACCCGTTGTGATCATGTGACTAATAGATTAAACAATGTAATATGTTATTCTTTCATGATTAAAAGGTTGTATTGTCTTTGAAGATTTAGACATAATTTACAGTCAATTCTTTTAAACATAAAGATAGTCTTTCATTCTTTTATTATTTTTAGGAATAATCTATATCTTGAGTTTTATTTAATCATGAGAAAAATAAGATATATTAGATACAATGTTATCGTTTGATGATGACATCTTGAAATGAAGATTTGAAATATTGTATTTAACAAATAGGGCAAGTAAATGTTTGTGCCAAAGAAAGTACAGACCAATAATGATGGTCACACATAAGAATTCTTATTCGCTAGTGATGTAATATATACGGGTATGTTAGTTTCAGGTAATTACGTTTGCACGACTTTGGCGACTGTTCTAAGCTTAGTAAAACGATCTGGATAAGGTGTGCTAAGTTTTGGACTAATCCAATTTTGAAGTGTACATTTACTTTTGCCCATTGAGTCATTCTTAATACATCACACTTCACACTATGAAGCAGAACAGATGTCTTCACAGACTGCTACAGAATAATCACAAGAGTTCACCGTACAAATTACATATTATCAGTGTCAATGAATCACTACCACATGGTGAGATGACTTGAAATGGGGTTTCACGTCGCACTTAAGAATATTTTGCTCATATGACGACATGCATGTGTATATGTGGCTGCTTGTACTAGCCCAGACTTACGCTGGTATTATAGTGCCAGCTATACGTCGCTCTTAGCAACATTCCAGCAATATCACGGCGGGGGATACCAGAAATGGGCTTCGCACATTGTACCCATGTGGGGTATCGAACCCGGGTCTTCAGCATGACGAGCGAACGCTTTAACCACTAGGCTACCCCCACCACCCCGTATATGTAACTAATGTATGGGCTATCATGGCCTTTAACTATACATGTATCATTAATACCATAGACAATAACAACCGCCGATTATTATTTGACGCCTCAATATTCAGGCGGCGACCTGTGAATAATCTTAGTCTTGCCAGACAAATGAGTGATATTTTGACCATCAACGTTCACCGACGAGGCATGGCGACACACCAAGCTGGACACTCGTTCCATTTGGTCGCCTTACTGTCCTGGTGACCTATTCTGACACGGAATCCCCACGGGTTGGTATCCGTGATACCTTCGATGTCATCTCTGTATGCCGTTTGTTACATTTCTTGCCAAACCCATGCGGGAATCCAGCCAGGCTTAACCACGAGGCTAACCCTATCGCCCTACCTTACACAAGTTATACACCTAATTGTAATTGCGTAGATCGATGCTCATGCTGATGATCACTGGATTGTCAGGTCCAGACACGA